TGCGTGACTTTGGATTTAAACTGTTTTCCTTTCCAGCTCAATTGATATTCCAGTCCTCCTTGCAGCTTTACGAGAAGTGTATTTACTCTTCATGGGCTTTTGGTGGAATTGTTTTCAAAACATTAATACACTCCTGATCTAGGAAGAATACAACATTTGATACAAAAGTGTATCAATACTTCCAGGAACTAAGGGTACAATTTTCTATGGATAGAATAATAATGAAAGGGTTAACTAACATCTAATTCTCTGTCAGTGGACCTCAGAGGAGACCCTCCCTAAACAAAACCTTTTTGGGTACCTGCTACCCCGCGGAGAAAAAGTAAGCAACTGCAATTGAGCCCCGTGCATTACCTATCACCTGACATTTAGGATACAAATTCTAGTGCTAGTGGCAAACTATGCACTGGGACTTCCAAAAAAGGTCAAACTTGACTAATTGAAGTCACTTTGTTTTGGAAATTTTACATTCCAATATTATTCCTCTGCAACCCAGTATGGAGAGCTTCCTTTAATGTTACCATTAGTTGCATAGGGCTTGTAGAGTACAACGATTACAGTTAGTAGGTATGACGAAGAAAGACAATAATAGGAAGTCACTAAGGACTAAAGGTAAGGTTAAGTCTGCAGACGAGCTAAGTGGCCCATCAGACCAGGGCTTATCCTGGTTTCAGTGTACCATGAAGCAACTAGGAGTATTTCTACTCCCCCCTGGATGAGATGCTAGTCCATCCCAGGGCTACCCCAGCAATAAATTCACCAGTACCCATTTGTACACCACGATAGAGAGAGGCACTGTGAGAGTGAAAGACTAAGGACTACAGGGGACTTATTCTTAAATATATTGTTATCATTTCAAGAACTTGCTTATCTAATTAGGGTTACTTTTTCTTAAGATCCTACCCTGCAAGAAGACTTGCCATTTATTGCTTCCTAGATAAACCAGAAAAGGGAGGGGAACAGTCCGCTTGGGGGGTATTGTGAAGTCCCAGTTCTGTATCATGAATAATGGCATTCACTCATAAGAGCACTGCTGCAATATATATTTGGGGGTATTGCATTTAACACAAAGACAAACACAAAAATAAAATTAAACAGGAAGAAAAAAATTCTTCTCTTTTTATTGGAGATGAGGGAGGGGGAGTCTGGGTTATCCCATTTATAACCACTCCCCTCACCTCTACACAGTGTGAGCTGAAAATCGTCCCTCGAAGAAAAATTGATCAAATCACTGATCACATGATCCAAAATCACAAATAACGTCACCCTTCTTTACCTTTCCAGGAATAACCTGGGAACTTTCATGAGACACCAAGAAATACTTAAATGTAAATAGCATAGCAATAGCAATTAATGTGCAATTATTGGCTCTGGTCTATTGACTGGCTAGGTGATCGATAAAAGTAGGTTTTGGTCTACGTATCCAAAACAAGGAATATCTGGGTTAGGAACATTTTTAAAGTTACTATCTTTGATAAGGGCCCATTAACCGATTCATGCACGCACTCGCGCGCATTGCTAAGGAGGTGAAATGTCGCTTGCGTCAGCCTCAGAGCGCAGAAAATTTAAACAATTCAAAAACTTTCAAATTCAGTTTCATTTTAGATATTTTTTCTATGTGTTTCACAAAATTCAAAGTCACAAAGGACAAGCAAAAACGAACTAAAAGAAAATCAAAAAACAAACGCAAAAGAAAAAGAAAAACCATCTCCATGTGGCTTTAGTGTGCTTCGTTTGATCTTATGGAGCTCCTGGTAGTGTAAACTGCGCACGTGCTGATAGAGTAACTTCCGATAGATATCACGGGCACTTCCGGTTTCTTTAAAGGAGTTGAGGTTTTCCAT